TATCGGCTCGATGCAGCTACGGATGTGTATTTGCTGGATGCTCCGCTTGGTGGAATGTTGGCATCTGTGTATGTGCTCCCAGCCCTGGTTTTGGTGACGATAGAGATTGGTTTTGGAGGTGGCTGTCCTGCATCTGTGTAGATGCTCTCGTCATATCTGCTCGAGGTTGCAGAAATGACGGATGCTGGTTTTGTTGGCGTTTGATAAATGCTCTCGTCATCGTACTTGCTGGAAGCTGTCGTGAGATGGGTCTGCGGTCGGCTGGCAACGGTCGCCATGCTTTTGGTGTTCTTGCCCGAGGGAGATTTGGGCGGAGGCGTAGGAGGAGGTGGGCCGGGGTCAAAGTCACTGAGGTCAGGAGTAGGGGTAGTCGTGATTTCGTTTCCGGTGAAAGGGTCCGTGGTGGCTCTACTTGTTGCTCGACTCTTCGAGCGTTCACTCCCTTTACTGCTTGGTGGGGTCATCGGGCGTGGGGGTCGGTCCATGTCAGCCAGATTGACAAAGGAGCCAGTGACTTTTGGGTCCAATGTTGGTGGCCTGCCCATAGTCTGCATGGCCCCGGTTTGCGGAGGAGTTGGCGGCGGCGGTCCAGGATCAAAGTCACTAAAGGTGGGAGTGGGAATGTGTAGCCGGTTTGCGAAAGGATCCAGACTTCTTGTGTCGTCTGGATACGTCTTGACTCCTTCTCCTCCACTCATATCATATGCGGTTGCGGGAGTCTGGAGACTCCGACTCGGTAGGCTTTGCTCCGTGGCAGGCGGAGAACTTGACAGCAGCCGAGTGAAGAATAGCCTCAACGACGGGAGGCACGAGCAACCGATTCCAACGTGCATTTCGACGGCGGTCCAGATCCACAAGTTGTACAGTGCCCAAGTGTTGTCGTAGGTTTTGTGATAGTACTGGTAGATGAGGACGCACCGAACGGTTCCGCAAGCGCACACACTGTTCTGGTTAGCGCCGTCTTTATTGGGTGGTGTCCAACTTACAACAGTCCCAAAAAGAAAATGATTCCCAAAGCAGTATGCTGGCGACCCGAAAATTTTAGACCCCAGAGAATGATCATAGGAAGGATGCAAGCCAAAAAGTCCTGCGCGACGCTGATGGCAGCTTCTGCAAGAAAGGCGGTGGATTCGTCAAAACAGCGGTAGCTGGTATAGTCCGGGTACATCTGCTTCCAAAACGCGTCTAGAGGTTGGCAATTTACAAAGAGCATAACCTCACAGACGGTCATGTAGCAGGTGACGAAGCCGATGGAGGCCCAAATTACCCAGTAGAATATTACGGAGAAGGTGGAGGGGCTGACCCGCCGGTAAAAGCAAAAGACGGAAATCTTGGTCAGGGACGTGCTGAGGATATAGCAAAAGGTTGCCGTCCAGTGCATAAGGCGCGCGTTAGCGGCTTGTGCATGCGAAATATCCCACGCGTGTTTTCCAACACCGTAGCGATTCCATCCTGTCCAGCCAAAAGTCAGCAAGGCGCAACACGGTTCGCGAGTCAGGAGTAATAACAGAGGCGAAGGGATGTCCGTGGACAAGCAGTCCGACTCCATCCTTCGGTTGCTTAATTGAAACCTCGCTAATATCACATACCTAGAATGACCGAAACGTCGAAGCCAACCATTGGAAGCTGCATATGTCAGTCGAATCTTCAACTCGTGCATGCTATACGTACAATCGCAAGCGCAATCAGCGCGTCGTCAACACCCGCGTTCCGGCGAAACTTGAGGCGCGCAACCAGTCTCGCAACGACGACAGCAGAAGCGAACGCGATGAGGAAGCCCAGAAGGATTACAATCCCCGAGCCTTTGCTCTGAGCCCGAGGATACTGGTCGGTGTCGGAAGCCCACGCATCGAGAGTCGCCTGTGGCGGATGGAGACCTCCGCCCATGTTGTAGCATCCCTCAGTCCCTCTCGGTCGTCCTGGGCGTGGTGTTGGAGGTGGACAGCTCGCGCAACAGGTCGATCAGATGGTTACAGTGCGGGCAATGGTTTTTCAAAGTCCAAAGCCACAACAGAATAAGGCTCGGTGGGCAAGCAAGGCCAAGTGCATGGAGCATCGGTCCCCCAGGTGCCATGGATGCCCTGGTGGCGTTGCGGACCTACCGGACTGTCGACGAATTGGGTGGCTTGGTTACATGAAGATGGCTGCTTGCAAGCATTGTAGTGGCTAAAAGTGAGCATTTTCAGTGGACAACGAGTGCTGTCCTGACGCCGCACCTCCTGTTTTGCAGTTTTCGAGAGGTGTGTAGGCGGCGGGACCGACTAGCATATGATTCTACATGGCCTGCAGATCGCACAACCGCCCAGGGATGCGCGGCCGGGTCCAACCGCCCAGACGTCAACAGTCTAGGATACCTCTGCCTATACTGCAGCTCAAAATGCTGACTAGCTGCGACAGGCTCTGGACGAGGGCCGCAGCGGCACTGGGTCAATTACCGAGCAAATGCCCATGGCGCCTGCGCTGCTGGCTAGTGGACAATGCACAGCTCATGGTTCTGGGCGTGCAGAGTTGAGGTAGCGTCCAGGAACGACAGGCTTCAGGATGTGGAGGTTTAGGGATGGGGATTGACGTATGTCTGCGGTATATTAGCTTTGGCGGAAGATTTTCCCATTGGCCGAGGTGCAAAAGAACGGTACAGGCTCTCTCTTGAAACAGTGAACAAGGTCAATGTTGAAACCAACCCCGCGCCGCTCGACTCTGCGCGCGCGCGATGGTTCTGCGCGGAGTCGAGATGGTGCATGTGGTTGGGCGATGGAACGCTGTCGAGCTGTCAGGTACAATCTGGTGCAGCATGGGCCGTGCGCGACGCCGGCGGCCAATTGTTTCTGCATCTTCTAGCTGAACAGAAGCATCCCTCAAATTTCATGCGCCCGGGGGTCGATCAGACAGCAAAGACGAGACCCTTTTGGGCCAGGATGCGGAGAGGGCGACACTCCCACAGCGTGCCCTCGACACGGGCCACTGCCCAAACGGGACAAGCGCCGAGCTGCGTGGTCCAACGCCCGCTCCGCTGCAGACGCTCTGCTCTGCTCAACAACAACAACAAAGCAAGCCTTATCACCGCTTCAACAACAACCCTTGATCGTCGCTGTCCAATTCGATCCCGTCCAACCGTAATGATCCAGGCCACCACTACAAGCGAAGACGCGGTCCGCCAAACTTTCCCAAGCACACAAGCATTCCGTAGGCCCGACAAGACCCCATCGCAACCGTTGCCGCACCCGTCCGGCTGGCGACAAATTTGGCACCGCACACCCATCACCCAGACCGCATCGGCCCGGACAACGCGCGCGGCCGGACGTTGTCAGCGTGACCAGAAGCCATTTTTTGCAGGCAAGGAACGTTTAAGGTTTGTATATTGTAAAGTGCGGCTCACAGCGTCAAAGCGCAAAGTCTTTGATATAAACGGTCAACGGCTGCTCTGCGTCGTTTGCCCAACGCTTTCGTGCCTATCTTTGGAGCAGGTCTGAACGAGTGCCGTGGTAGGCTGCCAGGCACGCAGGTGACTGATTTCATTCATGGATCTCTGCAGACAATCCGGGCTCTCCCAGTCCGCAGCCGTCTACGCTGCTACCGTCGGTGATATTCATGGCCGCCGAATTTTTTCACAACAAGCCTTGAGGATTGGCAGCAGCCATTGACGTACGCTCTACGTCGGCCAGCAGGTCCGCGGCTTGTACCGCTCTGTCTACGCCCGCCGCAAGAAGCACGCTTGGCCGACGTGACGAACTGAAAGCCTACCGAAACGTCTCCGCGGTCGATTGATTTGCGGCAGGCATCTTCACCTCTTGGCTTGACATCTACCCGTGGCACGTACGCGACTGGGCACTTTGACACGGCTGCTGTGCCTGCGCCCAAACCACCACCTCTCGAAAATATTTGAAATAGTTGCGTCCCGTCTTGCTTGGCATCACACACCCGTCACACCCACCACTTGCGCGGAGAAAGTGCATCCACACAGACCACTTGCGGCGCCGGCATGCTCCCAGTTCGCGGTCCGGTTCGCTCGGGTAGGTGGGTGTGGCAACCCGCAACCGTCATCTCTCTCTGTCGACAACACACACATAGCGGTGTCGGAATGGAGCGAACAGGCCCGACTAATCAGCGCCAGCTCAGGCTCTGGCGGCCTTCGGTCGAGATGCCGGACGAGTGAAAGCCATGCATTTGCACGTGTTCGCTCGCCTGGCCCGGCCTTCAACAGCATCCAGTTCATGGCCAGGAACAAGAGACGCACAGACTCGGCCTCAGACTCGGACTCGTCAAGAAATCAAGACCAGCCGCGCAGCGAGATTTGCCAACAGAACGTTGGCGAGTCACTTGGAAAGTACTTACTAAAGAAAAGCCTGTGTAGATGACTTGGCAGGGGGGCTTCATAGGGCGTGTGGGGGTAGAGTTTGAAAGGCGCGATTGGAGGCGCGGGTGCGAGGGGAAAAGTTGGTAGGGTGGCTGGTTCGCTAGCTAATGTAGCTTTAGCTATAGGTAGGTAGCTGGGTGTCGATGAAATGAAAACAGTCATTGTCTTTTAGCTTTCTTGCGTGTCACTCAACAAACATACCAACCAAATGACGGGGGAAAAAGTGTAGTCTGCCAGGATTAAATCATGCTCCCCTCCTCCATGCTCTTACTTCACCTCCATAACATCCTCCATGTCACCCCAGGGACCGAGTCCACTCTTCCTTGACATGTCGACGGATTTCGAGGGCTTGTTCGCCATGCACCCCTTCCAATGGAGCGCCCTCACCTTCGCGCACCTGGAGAACGTGGACGGCACCAGGGCGGCAGACTTTGATGTTCTCCGCCTGTGCTGCGCCATGCGCCCTCGCGCCTGCCACTTTCTACCACGCTAGCATCTCGCCTCCCGGCCTCACCTCGGCCCCCCCGTTCCCCACACCAATTCCACCCCCTGCACCCCCTGAGCCCCTGAAACCCCCCTAAACATCACCACACGCTCCACAACACATCCATGAGGGTTTGACAGGATACAAAAGGGCAAAAAGAATTGCGTCGGCCGGGAATCGAACCCGGGGCTGATCGAGTCATTTTTCGACCTTTGGAGGGAGGGTGAGAATGGCAACGATCAATTTTACCACTAAACCACCAACGCTTTGTTGTTGTTATGGAAATGGGGGCGGAGACAAGTGTTTATAATTTGCAAAACAATGGGGAAGGGGCGGGAGAGGGGCGGGGGAGCAACGAGGAGAGGAGAGGAAGGAGGGAAGGGACGAGAGTGTGTCGCAGTTATGAGGAGGAGGAGAAAGAAAGGAAGGGCGAGGATGATTTAAGTGGCTTAGCGGTGCCTCTTACCGCGGCATAAGAATGTGTTGTCCGCTGTAATGGCTTGCGTCTTCAAAAGCAGGAAACCCATTTTCATTTTTCATCCACAGATTCTGCGTGTTCGCTTTACCACCTTGATGCCGCTTTGACCTTTTTGTTCTTTGTTTCCTATTCGTCCGTTCAACTGGCTACAGATGTGTTGATCATGAGTTGACCAATTGGAATGCCTCGTGTCCCACCTACCACAATATGAAGATAGTGCGCGGTGGTCTGGCGCGGAGATGTGTACACCGCAATCATCACTTCAAAGACTTGAAGAAGGGAGTGTCGGGACTTTGCGCTCTGCAAGTCGCGTGCAGAGAAGAGATCATCCCAAATTGTCGATACATGACTCACGGAATCATCGTCACGTCGAGTTTCCCTTGCTTTCACTGACCTTGAGTTGACGCATTGTGTCTCAATTTTGTTGAAATTCTTTTCTCTTTTGTATATTCTTGTATATTTTCCTCTCTTCACACGCAATTGCAACTCGCATCGAATGTACACGCGTCATGTACATACTTACAAGCTCTGTACAATCCAGCCCAAACGCACACGCCCTGAAAAAATCCCACTCGCTCTCTATCCAAACGCGCCAATCAATCAATCAAACAACCCACCAATGCCAACGCCATCCCTGTCCCTCTATTGCCACTGTGAGGACTCCAATTTCCAAAATGAAACAACGAAAGAATGCGCCGACCCATGAGCGATCCGACCTACCCCCTGAGCCAGTCGACCTCGGCCAATCCGCCAAAGTTGAGCCCCAATCCGCCAATCGACTCCTCGCCCTTGGTGGCGTCGTCGCCGGTGCCAAAGTCGTTGAACGAGAACGAATTGCACACGTCGCCCATGGCGTCCATGTTCATGAGCGCGTCGAAATCAGCCGTGACGCCCTCCTCGGCCATGGCGGCGCCGTGCGCGGGGCCCGCCGTCGCCGTCGTGACGGGGTTGGTCGAGGAAGACGTCGTGTCGAAGAGGTTGGAGAAGCAGTAGCCCTCGTCGGCGGCGGCGGCTTCGAGGGAGATGTTGGACCAGGGGAAGAGAGAGGAGGAGGGGTCGTTGGATGTTGTTGTTGCCGCGGCGCCGTCGCTCGCGGTGCTCGTCAGTGGGTTTATGTCCATGCCTGACACAGTCATGGCGGGAGACTCGCCCGTGCCGTTGGCCAGTGTGACGGTGTCGAGGTCGGGCTGCGAGGCGTCGCTTGCGTGGTGGTCCGAGGCGGGCGGTGTCGAGGCCAAAAAGGTCTCTAGGCGACGGGCAACCTCCTCATCAGACGTGCTGTCGCCGCTTGCGTTGCCAATGGTCGAGCTGGGATGAACATGTTCGGCAAAACTGTCGGGAGGCGGCGTGATGGTGTTGTAGGGCGTGCTTAGCGAATTGGGGTTTGCAGTGCCATCGAGCTGGCGGCTGACTGCAACGAGGTCGTCGACTGAAGCCGCCGCGTCCGCCTTGGATCGAGCATTCTGGGATGGTTGTGGGGGTGGGGGAACTGGGGCAATGGTGATGCCGGCCTTGCGAATTGCAGCCTCCAAAAAAGCGGTGCTATAATCGGCAGCGGCGTAAAGATCTCGAAGCTTACCCATGACGAGCATGCACTGGCAGAATCCGCGAAGGCTGGAGCGGCGCGTCTCCTCATCCTGGGCTTTGATATCGAGAAGGTGAATGATGATGGCCGGCAAGAGAACCGTAACACCAGTTGTGGGCAAGTATCTAACGAGGTCCAGCGAATCCAGTTTCTGGGCAATGCAAGTAATGGCAACTGCAGCACGGCGAACGTGCCGACGGGAACCCTCAAGCATTTCGACGGTTTCAGGATCATCAGCCCCGCTAACGGGCGTGGGAGCAGAAGGAAGGACTTGGGGCCGATGGAGGGCAGACAGCGTCGTGTAAAAAACCATGTGCAGCAAGGCCTTGTGGAGGTCAATCGACCGGTTTCCCGAGGGCTCCTCTTCGTACTTGGCCTCGTCCGGGAGCTCATTCTGCCACCGCTGTAGCTCTTCGTCGCAAGCCTGCACGTCACATTTCTGCGAGTCGAGCTTCTTGGGAAGTAGCATCATCGTGGTGCGATCATTCATCAGACCAAGGTTGTTGTTGAGCACACAGTACTGCTTGGACAAGACATGACTGATGCATAGGCACAACTTGGCCTTTTGAATGCACAGCTGAGCAAGCTGGCGTTGCTTGGAGACGTCACGGGCAATGACGCACGTGCTGGGTATGCAGGTAACGTGCTCCGGAATGGGTTCAAAGTGAAAGTCGTCAAGCGTCATCATTGGAACGTCGTAGTCCTCGTCCTTTATTCGCGTGGGGCGTCGCATGCCCAGCGCAATGAGGCGGTCACGCATGTACGTGGACCACCAAATGCGCTTCCACAGCCTGACTCGCTTCGGGTCCATGTTGGCCTTGTTCGGATTCCGGTGGAGTCCAATAGTGTGGGCCACCGAGGTCGCCACGCCCATCCAATGCCAAGTGTCCTTTTGGTCATCGGGGGTCTCGTAATAATACGTGAGGAGGAGCAAGGCCTGCACAAGAGAGACACGGTCTTGCTCGTAGTCAAAGTCATACAGAAGCTGGAGGACAGTCAATAACTGTCAGTGCATCCGCCACTGCGGAGCAATCATCCGTCTCAACTCACCCTAGTCTTTTGGAAAAAGTCTTTTCTGGCTTCTTTCCTGTTCGAGTAGCCGGCCTTGCGCAGGAACGACATGTCTGCAAAGGCGCTGCCTGCAAACATGACGGCCTGGAACAGGATCAGGCTGATTTTGCCATTGCTACCGTCTAGCGAGTCGGCCGCAATGAGAAAGTCGTGCAAGTCTAGCAATGGCATGAACGGATGCACAAATTCGACGTATGCACGCAGCAACTCCGTCTTTAGCTCGGGATTAGGAATAGTCAGGGCGCCCTTCTTTTCCAGGTACGCAATTTCGTCGGGCCCGATCCGGGGCGGCAGCGGCTTGATGTACAGGGGCAGGCCAGCGGGTCCGTGGGTTTTGGGCGCAATGTTTGCAAAAAAGGGTTGCTGAGAGCCATTGGATCCGATTCCCGAAGTGCTGTAGCCAAAGGGGCCGTAGGTGGTTGAGGTCGATGCCGTCGACATGCGGCGGTCAAGCTCGGAGAAGCTGTAGTTGAGGCGCTGTCCGTGGGTCGCATCTGCCGTGCGTCAGTATCCACACTTGGGTGCGCGATTATCGTCAACGGAAGACGGCGAAACTGACAAATGGAGTGTGGCACGTGTTCCTCGAGGTTGAGAGCGTCATCATGTGACTGGCGCTGGCCATTCAGGGTCGACAAGCCGTCGAGGGCGTCGCGCGAGGCCAGTTTGCGCTTCCCCACATTGGCGGCGGTGATGTCGACGGGAGCGGCTGCGGGGTTGGAGTCGTCGTCCTTGGTCCACTTTCTGTTGCGACGTCAGCTTGACGGATCAATGGAGGAACAAAGTCCGAAAGGATGGCTGTTTGGTTCTGCATGCAACGTGGGACGCAAGCCTGTCAGCTGCAGCGCCCCGCGGACCCTTGCTTGCCGTGGCTGCCAATGACTTTTGCCGGTCCCAAAAGTCCCAAGTGCCGACTTGCCATGGCAGAACAACAACACAATTCAAGGGAGACATACTTTTTCCTGCGCGACTCTGACACGATGCACTCGACCTCGTCCAGCCTGCAGTTGGTGCACGGCGCCCCGTGCTCGGTGACGTTACACCGCACTTTGCGCGCTCGGCAGCATTGACACGCCTTGGAGGCCCTCCTCTTGACAGAACGCCCGTGGCCATGGCTGTCGAGGCCGGCGGCAGATGCTTTGCGCTTTTGCTGCTGCTGGTGGGATTGCTGAGATTTTTGCGGGACGGGGTGAGGGCGGTCGACGTGGTCTGCTGTAGAAGCCGGAGAGGCTGACATGATTGCGGCAGTGAGGCTCAATGGGAGCACTGGCAAAGGAGCGGGAGAGAAGAGAGGATCGAGTTTTGAAGCTCTGAGAGCAGCAGCTGAGGATTTTGATTGCTAGGGCCGGGTCAGGGCCGGAAGCGGGTAGGGGGGATGGTGGAGGCTTTGTAGGGCGCGATGGATTCGGCGTCTTGTTCTGTGGAGAAGCGGCGGCACCCCGGATTCGCGCAGATATGGGGTCGTTGGCCGCCGCTAAGCTCGGGCGTGCCCGGGTGGAGGCTTGATAAAAGGCGGACCAGAGACGTCAAAGGAAACGCAGCAAACAGTCACACGCCGGGCCAACGTCATGCATCGATGGTGGTGCTGGACTCTGTTCCCAGGCGGCCAAACGGGCGGACGGCAACCAGGGCATGCCTCTGACTGGCGCAGCACCGCAGCATGTGAGATGATTCCATCGTGACCCTTTTGAAGCTGTGGCGCTACGGCCGCAAAGCCGTCGCCTTTCACATGCTTTGCAAACCATGGCTCGTTGCTGGTCGAGAACAGCTATTTAGAATTTCCAGGAATCCACCTCGCCGTCGACTCTGACGCACGCGGACGGCCAGCTCTGCGCGCAGTCAGCACCACTCTTGCTGCTGCGCTGTGCTCTCGATTCAATGCAAACGGAGAAGACTCGGATCAGCACCATCATGGTACAGTAGTCTAGACGGATATCCCTCACTGCGCTCACTGCCTCTGCTCGACGACGCGAGTACCCACCCAGATGTGCAAGACAGGGGGACGCTGCGTCGGCGGCGCCCTGTTCATGTCATTCTGGACCCGCACAGCTGTGGGTCCCGTTTGGGGACGGACCTCGAGCCTCGAGCTCTCGACCGAAAACTCAACAGAAGCCGTGTTCGAAATACACCCCTTG